ATTTTGCCCATTCTGTTCAAGGGACAGACTAATTCTTGTCACAACATTAGTTCATGCAGCTCACAACAGTCTTGAATGGACTGGATTGTCTGAAATAGTCCCCGTTAGGAATCAGCTCTTTCTTAGTGCTATACATTTAACAAGGAATAAAAACTCAAGTGCAATCAATGACTTTAAAAAAATGATGAATCATTTATTGGAGTAGGAGTTCACTGCAATGATAATAGGGCTGGGCAAGAGCAATGAGAATGGAAATACCTCAAACCAGCCAAGGAGGACTGAAGATCAAATAGATCAAATCATTCCAAAGAATGTGAACTAATGCATTTAGCACTGAATTACTGGTACTCTAACAAGAATTCCAAATTATGTATTTATATACACTATTACTATGAAGCAAAATTTTCCCCCAAGGAGGAAGAAGCTAGAATTTTACAACTTCAAACACTGAAGATGTGCCTTTGAATGAATGAAACAGAGCAGACTTCAGAAATGGTTGAACCTTGTAGTGCCCAAAGTATTGGATTCTGCATGGAATATGCCATTCCACTTTGGCCTTGCTGCGACCAAGGAATCCTTTTGTCCAGTGAAATCTAATGGAAAAATAATAAATGATACGTTAAAAAATATAATCCACCTTTAGGTATATTTTAATAGTCTAACTACGATCTCTAACTGGCTGAGTCAAACACATCTGAAGGCCAAATCAATATGGAACAAAGATTTTTACTGAAAATTAAGTAACATAGTTGCTAAAATAATCACTCCAGCTCAATTTGTTCCACGACGATTTTATTTCTGTGATTTTTTTTTACTTTGTTTTATGTTTCTTCCTTTGTAAATAACACCATGAACAGCAATGAAATACACCAGGGAACACTAATAAAAAAATAAGCAGTTATTTCTTTAGATAAAAAATATTTCTGCCTAGGTAATTATATAGCTCTTATACTATATTAAATGAGCACCTCATAATACCATTATTTTGATTATTAAATATTAATGAATTTACACACACAACTCCCGTGGGAGATAAGACAATATTATTCCCATTGAACAAAAGAGGAACCGAGGCATAGATAGGTCAAGAAAATTGCTAAAGATCATGCAAAATTTGTGAAAAAGCTGGAAATTGAACCTAAATTTTGTGAGCCCCAGTTCTGTGTCAGAACCAAACATCTTTCCTCATATTTATTGTGCAAATGAGAAAAATGGGCTTAGAAAACTGAATTGCCTTATCCTGATAACTGGAGCATGATGTTTTTTAACTGTACAGCATGTATAGTACAGCATCAAGCAGCTGCACAAACTTCCTCTCACTATCCCTCTAATGTGTATCAGCAGGGGATACATGACCTATTGGGAACATAACTAGTCCAATAATGCTGACAAAACTTGCTTTTATCAAAATGCTTTAAAGAAATATATCTACTTTGATAAAGAATGGGATGGTTTCATGAGACGGAATTGCTGGTGTGAGAGTGAGACCCCAAAATAGCCCATTGGTATGGGAGACCCAGGTTTAAGTCCCTGCTATAAATCAGGCATGTTTCTTATAACCACCGCACTGTGAGCTATTTCTCTCTCTCTCTCTCTCTCACTCCAATGCTCAATATTATAATGGTGAGTATGTTCTTGAGGTTTCTTTTTCAAGTTTGTGGTAATTTTCATGGGATTTTTATTAAATATTTTATATTTTGTTACTAAAGAAAATGTTAAGTTCCTTGTCTGTAGCATTAGTTGCTTTCTTGAACTTTGCTTGCTGTTATTAGGCTGCTAAGCATAGATGTACTACACATTAATATTTACAAGCAATGCAACACAGCACTACCTTTATCTGAATAGATTATATTAGTAGGAAAAATTAAATATCAGGATCTTAATATACTGTGACAACTTCAGATACATCTACATTGGGGTGTTATTTCAAATTAATGCCCCTTATTTACTTAAGAATATGTATTACTAAGTATTCTTCTCAGCTTCATTTAGCATGTGCTCTCTAATCTAGCATTGTTCCCAGAGATTTTCCTCTGTGTTTTAATTTGTTTTCCTTGGTTGCTCTGTAACATCTAGCAATCAGGGATGCTTTATTAAGTATATCTTTTGTTTTGTAATAAAACTCACTTTTTTTAAGGTGATGATTTGATTCTTGTGTCCTAGAAAGTGTGTCTGTCTGTGTGTATCTGCATGCCTCATACTGAGAGGCCAGCTACTAGAGCCTGCAGCTTGTTTCCTTTTCTTTTTTTCAAACTCTTTTTGGGCAAAAGAGCTTGAGGTACCCCTAGGAGTGGGTTCAAGTGTTCACCCCTGGTTTTTTAGGGATAAAAACCACTTGATGGTGGCAGCGATTCCCCCAAAAATCCGTGTATTGTGATTCTGGGGGGAAGGTTTTTGTAACTAGTGCCTGTAGAGGCAAGGTTTTTAAGCTCTCTTGCAGGCCCCCACCTTCTGCACTTGGAGTGCCAAAGTGGGGAGCAGCTCGACAGTCTCTAAGGTGCTGCAAGACTATTGATTGTTTTTTGAGTTTTTCTAGTTACAGACTAACAGGGCTACCCCTCTGAAACTTTTGATCCCCTTATTTCCAAAAAACAAAGCAAGCATCCATGCTACCAAGCCTGTTATTTCGAAATAATGGGCTTGTTATGTTGAAATAATAACTCCTTCTTGTGAAAAGGAATACGCTTATTTTTAGTTAATTTGGGAGTCATTTTTTTGAAATAATTTGGTAGTGTAGACATAGACTATGTCTTCACTATGGGGTTTTATCGGAAAAATTCCGATAAATTCGTGTATCTTTTTCTGAAAGTTTTTTCAGAAGGGGCTTTTCCAAAAAAACCAATTTTGAAAGAGCCCTTCTTCCTCATGGGAGGAAGACAGGGCTTCTGAAAGAGTGCATCTGCTCTTCCGCAAAAAAAAAGCAGAAGAGCAGATGCGTTCTTTGGACGCAACAGAGTTTTCTAGTCCCCGTAGTCTAGACCCCATAGTCTAGACATAGCCATAGAAACACAACCACCCAAACTCCCAAATACATAGATAAACTGGAAAAGGGAATGTCAGTTTGTATCCCACAAAGACAGACAGATACGATGTCTATCTCCAAAAACTCCAAGCTTAGTGCTGGCATATAAGCTACTAAAATGTGCCAGAAACTGTCTCAGGAGACATTGGATTTATGTCAATGTCCTTTGACTATCAGATCATATACAGAAAGCAATTGGTTGCACTCAGGCAGTGAAAGTTATGTACCACAAGCAAGAAGCCATCATAAATTCAAAGAAACAGAATCACAGATTCAAGTCCGTTACACTAGAAACATTGTCTCTCTCCTTGTGAAGTGTATGGTATTTTTACTGAAATATCTCCAACATCACAGGATCTCGAAATGGACCTTTCAGGAATCCATTCTTTTTTTTATTGATATTTAGGAGACTGCAGTAAAGAAATGATCGGGGGGGCGGAGGTTAGACTAGGCAGTAACTTATTTGAACAAGGATTTGATAAACAAACCCATTGTGTTCTTATATATTAATATTATTAATTCTAGTGATTTTAGCTCTAAAAAGCCACACTATCTTTTCTTCCTAATACATGCATTTCCCATAAGGCTGGCAGCCTGACCACACATTTAATTTCTACTGCCTTTTTCATTTTGAAGTGAAACTTTTTCACTTCGGGGACATACTTCACTAAACTATTTCCCCCCAAAAACAACAGTGTTGGTGGAAATTTTATACCTTTCTTTTAACATCCAACAATTAGGTAATGTGGTGTAGTGACTGGAGTGTTGGGTTAGAAAGTGGGAGATGAGAGTTCTAGTCTTAGGTCTACTTTTCCAGCTATAAAATGAGCATAATGACCCTACTGGACTTTGCAAACCACTGGATGAGAAGTTCTATGTAGAATTTTTATACATTAAATACAAATTGTTTAGAAAAATGGGATTTATTAAATTGATTCACACCATGATGTTCCTGCAGTTGTACACTCTCAATGTTGCATTAGTGAGAGCTGTGCAAAAGGTTGTACAAAACCACAAGTTCATTTCTAGAGGCTAATTCTTTTTAAATGGCATTTTAAATATTTATTTTCAATTTAGGTTGTGCCAAGTGTTATTGAAATCTCATACAATAGATAATAGTCATCAAAAAAATAAAAGTTCTGGCATGCGCAGTACTGACTTATTACATTTCCACTGTGGAAAAGGATATAGTAACACCAGAACTGAGCACTCTCCACTGCCTAGCACTGTACACGCTGTTACTATTCTATAATGCAGAAGGGCTGGAGGGTGAGAAATGTGAGGGTATATCACAGGAAGCTCACTGAATCCTTAATACTTAGTGGAATTTGTGAAACAGGGTCATTCCTGGAGGATTTACTCACCTGGTATCCCAAGAAGCATCATTATACATTACATGCCAATTTCCAGAAATGTTCTCATATTTTTCTACTGTTAGGAAGGTTTGATGTGTCTGGAATAGGATGAATACAACTAGTCAAACACCCACCATCTAAGCTTTCTAGTGCTTAACTTTTATTTAAAGAACAGATGCTTTTTCTTCATTGTAACTTTTTATTAGCAAAACATAACAAGACTAAGCTATACATATAATGTAGTGTATAATAAAGGACACATTCACTGGAAAGGCTGCAAATATGTAGTATTTAACAAATTTCCAACAAAAATAACCACTATGACAAGTTTGTTCACTATTTAAACAAATAAGAAACTTAGCAGTTTCAATTTGAGTCTGAGAAGGAATACTGGGATTTGCATTAAATTGCACCAAAGTGTAGATAAAAGGTTTCTCCATTGTTCATATGTGCAATTTTGACTCATATGGTATGAAGAGGTCATGAATTATCTAGGACTAAACTGTCTGTGCAATTTTCCTTTTCAGTGCTCAAAATCCCTTTAACAACTGGACAAACTTTCAAGCTAGAACTTTACAATCAAAGGGGTTCCAGTAATGTAATGCTCCAAAGAACATGCTTATGTCAGTAACTCACAGAAATACAAACAGAGTGAACATGTTTTTATGTGAACTAATGAGGCCCTCCAATGAGTATTTAGTTACAGAAAGTTTAGTAAATTGTATTTAGGAGACGACCAGTACTGTTGGCCGTGATTTATAAACATTTTTAAATGAAGGGTTTATCTGGGATATGTTAATGTGCAATATTCATCCTCGTGTAAATAGGTAGAATGTAAGAATCTTTGTTTATAAAAGTTATACATTTCAGTGACTCTTTCCTACAGTTCACAGCTAATTCAACTAGCCGTAGAAATACATTAAAATTAAATTAAATAAAAGCTCAAATAATATCTCCTTTTCTACACGTTGTGTCTGTGTCTGTGCTATAGCAGCACTGCTGCTGCACTTCAGTGTAAACACCATCTATGCCAAATGGGAAGGGGGCTTCTCCCATAGCTGTTGGTAATCCACTTTCCTGAGAGGAAGATGCAAGCATTCTTCCATTAACCTAACACTGTCTTCACAGGGTCTTAGATTGGCTTTACAACACCACTCTCAGGTTTTTCCACACTTATGCCAAACATTGTTATGCCAAACTAATTCCAGTCATCTGAAGAAGTGGGCTGTGCCCACGAAAGCTCACGATACCATCTACATGTTTTGTTAGTCTATAAAGGCTACCAGATCATTAGTTGTTTTTTAAGTTTATTTAATGTTCTAGTGTAGACCAGGCCTAACAGCTCTGCATTTCCATGTCTGACCTATCCTTTCTCTATAAACCATTTGCTTTGTATTCTCTTTTCTCCTAATTTGTCTTTAGAACTGTACATTTTAAAGTCCTCCATGTAAGCAAGCAGAACAATAATTAAACATTAGCCATTATGAAAGAATAGAAAAATCCAACATCGTTAAATTATACTTACAGTATTCTCGGCAGAATTCCTGGGGTTTGCACCTACAAATGTTACTTCAGCAACTTCACCCTGAGGAAATGTTACAAGATATTTTAAGAGTGAATATAATAAAATCAATGATGTAAGACATCTTTATCAACATTTCTGTATTATTTTAATAGTTGCTATGGGATTATAGAGTTTATATTTGAATGCCACCATGTATAGTGCCTGTCTGCAGGATGATTTCCATTATGTGACATTTAGTTCCAGTATAAAAAAAAAAGAAAGGCAGGACAGGTAGGATTTTAAAGTTATAGGACTACTGCTTCCCACCCTCTGCCTGCTTTTATTGCACTTAGAAGCGTGCAGATGACACTGCAGATGACACTTGTTCTGAATATTTTATAATCCAATTTGCTAAGGATTTAAAATCATTAATCCTTACAACATGTTTATCTCAGTCAGCTTTCAAAGCAAGTGCATCAAAAGACAACCAGGTTCCTGCCTCCAAACATTGTAAGACAATAGTTGCTACTTCACAACAGGTGCGTCTACACAGCACCCTTAGCTCGAAATAATTTATTTCATAATTTGGTGCTGTCTATACAGTGCCAAGTTTCGAAATAACTTGCTATTCCAAAATGCTCCTTATCCCTAATGGAACGAGGGTTACCAAAATACTTCCAGTATCCCAAAACAGCTCCATATTGTAGACATTCCCAGTGAGTCTCCATTTTATGTATAGAAATGTAGGCTCCCTTTACTATGGGAGATTCTGATTTTTACTGGGAGGATCCTTTGTTCTACAGTCTAGCCCTAGAGACTACAACTCCCATGAGCCCTTGAGGAAAAAAAATCTTACTCTCTTCCAGGAGACAGACAGACAGAGAGAGAGAGAGAGAGAGATGGTGGGCTCCATTTTGGGAGAAAGGAGCCAGATTGCTGGTGTGGAGCCTTTACCAGACCAGAGCCGTTGTGTTGAAGCTAGAGCCTGTTACTGAGAGCCTGCTGGGGCTTTGATCTAGCGGGCTGCTTCAAGGGCTGTTGGTGATTGTCCCTGGAGAGGAGAGACCCTGTCTGTGTCTGTGGCTGAAAAGGGCCTGCGAAAAACTGCATAGAAGACACTCTGAGTAATTGTGGCTGTTTGGAAAAGTGCTGCCTGGGAGGTGCACAGAAGACAGACTGACTGTGGGTCCAAAGAGAGCCAGAGCAATCTGCCCAGTGAACCAGAGCTGCTGGCATTTGGTAGAGCCTGCTCTACGGGCAGAGGGATTTTGCAGCTGGCTGCTCAGCTTGAACTGACACACACAACCTGCACAGTGCTGTCTCCACTCCAGCTGTAGACCTTCAAGCATGCCTGCGCAAGCATCTGGGACTCTGAATCCAGAGGAGTGCACACTTTGGGGATGGATAAATGGTGGCAGGGTAAATGCCAGTTAGATACGTTCCTTTTCTTTCTGTGTACTTAGTTAATTGATTTTATTAATTTTTAATCTATTAAACCCTGTTTCTTTAAGTTGTTAAGTAGGTGTGCTAATTCTAATTTAATCAATTAACTTATAATTGTTTTGGAGTTCGATCCAAATTATTCCTGGAATAAGTTTATTCCTGGAGGCTCCCAACGCACACCATTAAGTGTGTACTGGACCAGCCAGGTGGAGGCACCACCATTGTATATTTCTTTAGGAGCAAGGGACTGCAGCAAGGGGATGGATAGGGAATCACAAACTATACAACATCACTACTGAGAGTACTCAAGATCTTCCAGGCACAAAGGTCAGTGTGGCCTGCTCCCAACTAACCAAGGAGGAAAATAGGGGGTTACAAAAATAAAAAGATTCTCCTTCATGGAGGGATGTTAAGGGCTCTTTATTTTCTTATTCACTGATTTTAGCTCAATTCAGTATATAAACATTGGTATATATCTATGCTTTGGCTCTAAAATAAAGACAAATAACCTTAATATAAAGCCACTGATGTGGTTATCCATTTCTCAGAAGCACATTCTTTACTCAGTAATTCATTCATTTGTGAATTTCACAGTCAAAGGGCATGTTTGGGTTATTGCTATAAAGAATAAGGAAGGAAAGGAGCATTTTGAAATTCATATCAGCTATATAAACATGTGAATACCTATTGAGTTCTCATTTGTTTTTTATTATCACCTTACTTGAAGACTTACCCAGCATTGCTCAGGTCCTTCAGGACAGGGGGCTAGAAGTGGGGGGATGCATGAATCAGGGCAACGCTTGCGGATGTGAAGGGCTCAAGGCAGGGGGGCTGAGGGTGTGGAGGGTGCAAGAGTCAGAGTGAGGAGGGTCTCAAAGCACGAGGCTGAGGGTGAGGGGGGTGCAAGAGTCGGAGTGAGGAAGGGCTCAAGGCAGGGGGGCTGAGGGTGTGGAGGGTGTAAGAGTCAGAGTGAGGAGGGGCTCAAAGCAGGAGGCTGAAGGTGAGGGGGGTGCAAGAGTCGGAGTGAGGAAGGGCTCAAGGCAGGGGGCTGAGGGTGTGGTGAGTGCAGGAGTGAAGGTTGAGAGGTGAGGAGGGGCTCAGGGCAAAGGGTAGAGATTCAGGAGTCAGAGCAGAGGATTTGGAGGCAAGGGTGCTCAAAGAAGGGGGTCGGGGCTCAGGGGAAGCCACTGACTTCTCCCCGCAAACTGCCTGAGGTATGGAAATTATGAGGCCCACCTGCAGGCTTCTTCCCAGGACCATCCTGTGGCAGTGGGGGTAGCGCAGTCCACCTGCCGCCTGCTCCCTGGGATAGGCCAGGATGGCAAAGGGCTTTGCTACTAGCCAGTTGCTGCTCCCCACACATGTGGTGTTTACTGCCTCTCTGTGGTCATTTGTGAGTATAACTGTCCCTGCTCTCTCATTCCTCCCTCTCTGCTTGATAAGAACAATCATATTTCTTGTGCATTCCATTGTCCTGGAACAACCAAATCAGACCTTGCTTTAAGTTATGATAAGAGGAAGCTGCATACCAAATTTGGTGGCCCTAGCTCTTACCATTTAGGAGGAATTCTTGAATAAACGGACTCACAAATGGATGGGTGTACACACAGAAAGATACACAAACTCTTCCAAATATATAATATATTTCAGTTTCACTTTTTCTAGCAAGTCATACAGAGATAAGCTGAGTTGCTATCACTAACAAACTTCAGACTACTAAGTCTAAAAATCTGTTGTTATATGTCCTGAGATAAATCTATTAAAATCAGTGAAGTCTTTTGAATTACATCAGTGTACGCTAAAGCAGAATTTGGCTATTTATCTCTATATAAATCCCACAATAATATATGGTTAAGAATCTGATAAGTATTCAAATAGTAGTTAATAAATTATATTTCCCTAGACAGTCTTACCACTCTGTACTGTGCTCGCACTTCCTGTAACACATCCCCAAATGTTTTATTAATTGGTGCGACATCAGCAAGAACCCCAGGTAACAAAGTCATGTTGGTTATGTACATGAATGGTGGCTCTGGACCCTTCAGCAAATCCTGTATTGTATTCTAAAAAAAATTGAAAGAATGTTTGTTTAATAAGCAGACATGTTGTTTGTCAATTCTACTGTGATACAACCATGACAAAAAATCATGTAAAGATGTTGTCTTTCACAAAAGCCAAATATAGCTTTTTAATTAACTACAATTATAATTGGCTATAATGCCAAGAATACTAAAGTGACCAAAAAAAAAAAAGCACAGCAAGAGGGTTCATGTTTATATGCTACGTTCAGCACCATATCATTCTTCAAACTTATCTTCACGTAATTTTACACCAAATTGCAACTCCTGTTTTGTTGCTCTAGTTAGCATCCTGTTCAGCCCTAAGCAAGAGCTGTAACAACTTATGGGTTGATCTAATATAGATGCAGCTATCCACAGATTAACAGGGTTGTTCTGTAACCAGGGGTTGTCATAGAACCCAGATTTCCCCAGCAACACCACCTCAAAGCAAGGTGAGGAGTTGGGAGACAGAGCCACTAAACTGCTTCTGCACCACCTGGAGATCCTGTTTACAGAAGGGAAATTCCCAGGAAGGAGATTAGGCTGTGTTCTGTTTATTTTGCATTGCTAGAGAGGTACAGGCAGTTAGATCAGAACAGAGAATTGGGACCATGGCATTTAAAGTAATAGAATGAAAAAAAATATGTAAACCTCTCTTCTGAAGAATATATAAATATGAAAGTGTGCAGTGGATTCAAATGATCTTTTATTACCGTAGCAATAGCCTTGGCCAATCCTCTGAACAACTGAATATAAGCAGAGAGAGTGTGTGGCCCAAAAATGGTGGATGCTCCCTCATATCGTTGAACCTACAAGAGATATGAACAGATCTTTGCATTTCTTCCACAGATTTTCTTGCTGCTGCTGTTTTCACTTCTTTGTGAAAAAACTAAGTTATTCTACAATCATATGAACTTCTACAAATTATCCCTGGAAAGTAACAATCCATGGTAAAAATGTCCTGTAAACATCTTTTGTCCTGTATTACAGCTAGTTTGTTTACCTGGTATTCTTCGTAGGTAGTAACATAATGGGTATAAACATTGCACAAGCCTGCAATTACGACATTCATTCCTTGGGTCCCATGGGATTCAAATTCCTAAGAAGAATGGGTACAAAAATATAATAACTTTAATAAATAATAAATATGCAATTGTATCCATCTATTATTATGTCCTATCTTTATTTAGTATTGTTGCAACCCTGCTGGTGCCAGAAGAAAGTATTGGCATTTTTGTGGTCATAAATAAGATGAATAAAAAGACTCAGTAATAGTCAGTATGATGGAGGGATATGGTTATTGTTGTCACAGTGTTACTAATCAATCACATGGTGGCGCCACACTGATAGAGTTAATGGGTGAAATCTAGCCTCTGTTAAAGTAAATGGCACTGGGCACAATCTCTATTAATTTCAGTGGGACCAAGATTGTATGTTTGCTTGTGTGGCCTGATTTATTGCTATCTTGGGAGGCAAGATATGCTGACTGAGAGACAGGTATCAGATACACAAGTAGCTTTAAAAAATGCCTTTGTAATATGTGAGTCCAAGAGTAAGTCTACCTTGGAGCTGGCAGTGTAAGCACCAGCATCAGGAAGCACACTAACGCAATCGGATTTAGTATGCTAAAAACAGAAGAGTAGCCACTGTGCTGCTCATGGCAGAAGTACACTCCGACCTGAGATGCAAGATATGTACTTGAGCAGTTAGCCCATCCCACCACTCATGCAGTTGCCATTACATTTCTATTTTTATGCACTCAATCAGAACTTGAGGGGGGGAGATCTACTCATATAAGAAATTACAACTTCCAGCTACCCCCCAAAGAACAACATCAGTAGGAGGCAAGAGAAAGATGACAGTCTCAGGAAAATAAAGGTTCCATAAACTCTGCTTTCTAGAACAACTGTCTTTGAGTTTTTAGCCAGTCACTTACACTTTTAATAGCTTCTCGTAGTCTCCGTCCAGACATTGTCCTGTGAGGCATTATAATAGGAATGTTAAACTCCAGTAATGTAGAGAAAGTGCAATATATTGAAGGGCAAGGTGAGTTGGAATCACTGATGGACGACATCAGTTGGAACGGTTGGGATCACACCAAACTAGTATATTATATAAAATGCACCTGCATTGAACATTAGATTGGACATTGACATACAGTGACATATTGTAACAGTGATAAAAGTTTGCTGGCTTTATATCTCTTCTGAAAAAGTATATACACACAAGTACTGGGAATCATTTGAATACAAAAACTGTCTGCTTTGCTATACAAAATAAGAGTAAAAATAGTACTTACGTCAGCTCGCCTGGAAAAGCAGCTATTGCCAAGGACCCAATGGTAAAAAGCTGAACATCAACTATTTCAGGGTGCCATGGGTAAGGTAATGAAATCTTTAAAACAATAAGGAATCAAGGGTTACATTTTTAATAAGGTTTAAGAGATGTGATCTGATTTTGTTCTTTCCACATACATAAGAATAGGTGCAAATAACATTTATTTCTGTAAGAAATGTGCATTGGCTATGGAAAAGTAATGTCTCACTTCATCTTCTATATACCACCAATGCATTAAGTCATTCAACCAGAACCATATTAATTAGGAATGGAGGAAACCTATCATATTAGGTAGAGTGTCTCCATACCCAGTGCAATACTGGTCCTTATCCTATGTTCTTAAAGGCTTTGTTCTGTTCAATTCTAAATGACTCAAGCAATGGGGTTTTCATTTATTCCAGTCTCACATTATACTTGATTTGACCACAAATTTTCCTCTGTTTAACTTCATTCCATTACATCTGATTTACCCACTTGAAATAATTCTTCTCTTTTTCAGATACTTGTAGGCAGTACTTTGGGAGGTCATTGTAGCCAGTCCCCTGCCCTTGCAGCAGGACCAAGTACCATCCCTGACAGATTTGCCCCAGATCCCTAAATGGCCCCTCAAGTATCAAACTCACAACCCTGGATTTAGCAGGCCAATGCTCAAACCACTGAGCTATCCCTACTCCCCTCCCCCCAAAAAAAGTTGTCATATCATTTTTCAGTCAACATTTGGCTAGTCTATGGTTTGTTCTTTTATGTTTTGCTCCATGGATGAAAATCATTTCTTAGTATCTTTCTGGTAGTGAAGTGCAATGTATTTTTCTTAGTATCTTTCTGGTAGTGAAGTGCCCAGAACCGTATGAAATTTTGTTGAGAAAGGAGCTATGAGCATTCTGGTAAAAACAGCATGATGCCTAGGAAGTGACAGCTCAAAAACACATTTTTTAAAAAAGGAAACACCAAATAGTATTTCAATCTCACGAGGAAAATTTTGAGAAGTCTCCAAGTGATTTAGGAGTTTAAATCCCATTGGCTTTCAGTAAGACTAGGTCTCCTAGGTGCCTATGTCTCTTTTGAAAATGGCATTAAAGATCCTAACTCTCTGAGGCATTTATTAAATCTTTTCCCTAGCTTTAATTGGATGCCCATTCTCATTTAATCTCTAAGGGTACGTCTAAACTGCATGCTTATTTTGAAATAAGCTATTCTGGAAGAAATACTCTGAAATAGCTTATTCTGAAATAGCACATCTACACTACAGGGAAGCCTCAAAATTAGTCCCAAGCACGCTTCCCTAATGTGGACATGCTACCTCAATTTAGGGCCCCAGGAGGCACTGGGGAGTAATTACTTCAAATGGCCCTGGGGAGAAGCTATTTCGAAATAGCAGCAGTGGAGCATCCACACTACTGCTATTCTGAAACAGCTATTTTGGAATAGGCATTATTCCTTGTGGAATGAGGTTTACAGAAGTTGGACTAAGCTGTCCGTTATTCTGAATTTATTTTGAAATAACAGAATTGCTGTGTAGCTACTAGCATTTTTACTTCGGAATAAATGGCCATTATTCCAAAATAATGCTGCTGTGTAGACACACCCTAAGATTCCCTCTTTGCCACTACAGTATAGATGACTCTTTTAGATTGAATTTTCCAGATTACAAATTCCTCATCAGAGATTTCCATAAATCAAAAGCTCTTCTATATTGTGGCAGACAACCAAAGATCTAACTGAACTTTCTAGCATCAAAGGAGTAATCTTTTTACAAGGACAAACATTCTTGAACAATTTCTGCAATGTATTTCATCACACAGACATTTTTTCCTTCATTAATGAGGCATGTATTTCTTCTTTCCGCTTTTTTAAGATCTACAAAAACTATGTATGGAAAAATACTCTTCTTTTGTGAATAAACTCCTAGCATCTTTTATTGCTTTATAGGAGTATTGATAAGCATAGATTTATGTTCCTTTTCAGGTCTTTTAAATTAATATTCACTTTCAGAATGTTCATGTCATACAACCATTCACTCCCTTTACTTCTGCATCATTAATTATGGCTGGGATTAAAATGGAAGTCCTTCATTTTGGCAAGAAAATCCAATGTAGTTCAGCAATCGTTGTGCTCCCTATGATATACACCAACACATTTACCTCTCCAGTATTTAAAAGGATTGGCTTTGGTTTGTGGCACTCTTTTGTTTCATTGGATGGCTTTCCAAGCAGCTGGTTATGAATGATTTCCCAGAATAGCTCTCCTTCCAGGGACCCTGTAAGCAGAAGCCTCTTTTAATACCATTTCTTTATGTTTTTCTGGATGCATATTTGACAAAGTCTAATTTCTCACCTGCATTTCCTATAAGTGTTTATATATCTAGGATGGGATTTTCAGGGATGTTTAGGGGATTTGGAGCCAGTCATCTTAAAATGGAATTTTGGTCACCTAACTCCCAAAAATCCCAACTCTAACCAATTTCAGACGTGGTTGTGACCAGAGTATCTGGTTAATGAACATGAAGAAGTGGGTTGTGCCCACAAAAGCTCATGATACCATCTACATGTTTCGTTAGTCTTTAAGGTGCTACTAGACTATTTGTTGTTTTTTAGTTTTTCCTGTTTCAGACTAACTAGGCTACCCCTCTGAAGCAAGAAATACAAAGGACTGTCCTCCTCACTGGATCAGAGCTAATGGCAAGAGGGAACAATTTAAAAATATCAAAAACCCTCTGACAATAGCTAGGAACAGGGGCAAGTAGGTATACATTTGTAAATAAAGAATGACTGAGGAAATAAAAAGACAAGTTCCAGTCCTCACCTTCACCACTATCCTTAAAAATGCACCCCTACCATCCACTCTTTGTCTGTTTGTATTTTCAAAACGGTAAGCTAAGTGAGATAGGGACTGTGTCTTCCTATGCTTGTGCTGTTACATGAATATAACTAAGGACACCGGTGCCATATAACAATAATCCTCAGTGAACAAGACCTGCAGACTCCGTTCTACTGCTTACCTTGTGTGAAATTGAAGAATCCCACTCCATCAGTAGTACCTGCCGCAAAGCTGTAGCCCAAGGCTGGTTTACAGGTTTTACCCTGAATAAAAGTATATTAAAATTAGATTATATACAATATAGCAACTCCAGATGTAAACCCACAATAATTCTGCCTTGAATATTCTGATGTGGATTCTTCATCTACAGGGCAGAGAATTCCAAGGACTTACCGTATGGGTGGCATTGAGTTGCACAGTAACGTTACTCATATTCACCCACTGGTGCGTTGAATGGAGAGGTCCTGTTATCTCCTGGGAGGCCAGAGTAAACAGTTCCTAAAACACAAACATATATTACACTGATTAACACTGGTGCAAAAACTAAAGAATATGTTTTCTTGAAATAGAACCACAAAGAACCTATTAAAACAGACACAATACAAATATGAGCTATTTTAATCTCAGTTTCCTTGGCAGAAGAAATGATGTGCCTAAATCTTTGAGGACATGGCCCTGGGGTGTGGGTTAGTTAGTGGCTAGTGCTTCATTGGCCAAATCCTTTCCAAGTGATCAAACATTGCTTAGGGCAAGAGCAATGCTCCACCATCCCTAGCTATCTGGGGCCACTCTTTGCACTTGTGGGTTGTTAAGTTTCCTCCCTCTAAATCCTGTTTGACAGAACAATTCTTTCAGTGGGACCTTATTGGGTGCTCCTTTCAGCTTTCTTTTCAGCTAAAATGGGATCACAGCTGATCTTTTCACATCTTTTTGTTCTTTTATGACTTCTCAGCATCATCAGTCTTTCTGTGACTCAGCACAGAGTATTCTATCCGTGCCTTTGCCTATAAGCAGCGGGCAGATGGTCACTAATATCAGCCTGATTTTCCACCTCCATGAACTCATGTGCGTGTTCAACAGCAACAGGCCCAAAAGCAAGCTATCCAGAGTTGGATTCTCCAACTTTTCTGTAATGTGGGCCATACGTCAACAGAGTGTAGGTCCTCAGGGACCATCTCCCTTTCTTCCTCTAGTTGCAGAGACCATTTCCTTTCTCATTCCAGAACAAATAATACTTCAGTGGCAACTAGAGCTATTGTTTACAGAGAATAATAATAATGGAAATGGTCAAATATATTTGGGAAATAAGGAGAAAAATTAGCAATACCAGTGCAGCAAGTTTTCTGTGAAACTTCAGTATTTCCATAAACCCAGAAATTCTGAATTGCAGTTTCAAAATTAAATTTGGCTTCAAACATCAAATAGAGCAAGATTATATCAAGGTTGCTCAACTCACTCAAGCACCTAGAAAAGCTTTTGTGAAGATTTTCTATAAAGTTAGCAACAAAAAGCAATGACTAAACTTAAGGAATTACAGTTGTCTCATCAAATTTTTGTTTCTCTTATATAAACATCCTCTAGGGATGCAAAGTGTAGTCAATTAACCGATTAAGCAATAAGCAAAAATGTATAGGTTAATGGTATAGACTATACACATTTTCCCCAACCCTGCCCCCAATACATTTTGTAGCAGGCTGGCCAGTAGCCCAGCTCAGTCCTGGCTTGCACTGGGTCCAGTACCTACACCTGCTGGGGCTCTGCGTTCAAAGTGTATTAAGAGCCAGATGGGCAGGCAGCCCAATGTATTAGGAGCCAGATGGGCAGGCAGCCCAACTCAGTTCTGACTCGTTCCAGGTCCAGGAGCTCAGCCCCCACCCTGGACAGGGTGGCTGCTACCCCGTGCTGTTGCCTCTGTATCAGAAGCAACAGCGTGAGGTGACAGGCAGCCATTCTGCTGGTTTTTAAATTGTCTCCCCTCGGCGAACCAGCTACTGCCTGGCACCCTGCACTGCTGCCTCTGATACAGATATTTAACATCCCTAACATTAAGCCTCTCTTTGGGGAAATGTACCTGCCTGAAAATACCTTTCCCAGTTCTTCAGTTCTAAAGCGATCAGTAGATGTTTGTAATTTAAAGATATAATTACCTTTTTTTTAAAATCACAATTCATTTATAACTGTTCCTTAAAAAGTATCTTCAACAATGAGTGGTCATCAGAGTAGAAATTACACAGATTTGGTAACATTCCATGTAATTGTGTGAGGTGTCATTTTACTAGGGTATATATATATTGAAATCCATTTGTACTGCCACCTACAATGGTCATATATGGCGAAAACCACTTCCCTCTAAATTAGATACCCATGAAAGTCCCTAGCGTACAATTAGACTAGAATATCCACTAACCTACAAATCACTGACATTTTAGAGCAATTCTATTGTCAAACACTCAAAATGGCAATTAAAAAGAAAACTGCTATAATCAAGCCTGCTGTTGTCAGTAATTTATTGACTCTGTTCCAGCTCCTGCAAGCTGCTGACACTGAAATCACCAAGTTCAGTGGCATTGCACTTCCTCCTCTGCTGCCCTTGACAAACTTTACAATAGATAGCATGGATCAAGCAGAATCCAATTCAGGTAGAAGAAAAATTAAATCTGTGACTTTCTTGGGTAACTTCTTCAGGGAGAAGAGCATTTTTAGGCATGTCTAGCTATGAAGTAGAGAATGCCTATATTTATTGTGATCTGAGATACTACAATGCACAGCATGGTTCTAGTTTACATATTCTGCTGCATATTGGTTCTTACACCACTTCCACCAGCTAGCATCATGGTGAGGTCTCAGTCTTGACTGGGCCTTTGAGAACAGTGACCATATTTTCTGAACCAAAACCAAGGACACATTAGCCATGCACCCGACCCCCTTTAGCCATATCAGAAGGGTTTGTGAAGAGTGCAGGATCTGCCTTTTAAATTGAATAAGAGCCATGTGGCTTCTTAGATTTAAAGGGCAGAGCTAGTGTGCTGCACAAACTGGGATCAGCTGATTTCAAGCGTGGCTTTGTCTTTTAAATCTAAGATGGCCCATGTGGCTCTTACTAGGTATAAAACATAGAGTGGCAGCACAGCGGGAGCTGGAGTTGGGAGTCAGCTGATTCCCGGTCCGGCTGCTGCTCTGCCCTTTAAACCTTGTAAGAGCCATGCGGGTCTTCTTAGATTTCAAAGACAGAACTGCGCTTGAAATCAGTTGATCCTGGTTTGTGCAGAGCACTGTCTCTGCCTTTTAAATCTAAGAAGACTCTCGCGGCTCTTATTAAGTTTAAAGGGCAGCAGGGTTTAATGGAGAGGACTGTGAGGGGAAGGGGGCCTCTCACCTACTGCTTCTTTACCAGTGTGGCTCCCAAGAGAACTACCTGCCTGCCACAGCAGCAGAGGGCCAGAGGTCAGGTACCGCCTCCCACTGCCTTTATTGGCTGGGTTCCAGAGCATTAGGAAAAATCTATTGGAAAGTCTCCCGGGAGAGGGAGAAGAAACAGCAGTGTCCAGCCGCTTCTAGCTTCATTGCCATTTCTAGGACATTTTCAATGTTTTGCAGGGCATCGGGACAGGAGATTGAAATTCGGGACTGTCCCGGATTTTCCAGGCTGTAAGGTCAACACACCGTGAGCATTATTGTGATGCGTGCCGCAGAGACCCACAACTGTGAGGCACCTTAAGTGTTCCCTGTAAGCTGAGCACTTGGGCAATCGCTCAGGAGAGATTCAAATGCTGTCCAGCTGAATCACAGAGCATGATGAGCTAGGTTTTTTTTCTATTGGTGGTGCACTTTCACAATGCTTCAGTGCACACAGAAGAAATTATTCCAGACATGGAGGGAGATCATTAGCGGGAACATTAGGCACCTTGCTGCCTCCTGCCCTTAGCATGAGGAAGCTTTGTCTAAGCCAGTCAGGAGTCAGCACACAGACCCCACTGACTAGAGGCAACCCAAGCACTCCCCTCTAGGTCTACTCAGGCCCCACTCACTCACTGTCCAACCCCCGAGATTGGAGCAGCCCCCTGGAACATCTGGCCCCTGTTCCACTGGGTGCTCACAATATTCACAGTGTGCCCCAGCTTACCAGTTATATCTCTGTTCCACGTAATACATAGCACTTAGAAAAGTTTATAATAAAAAGAGGTAAAATTTTATGTAACAAAGTATTGAGATTCAAGTGATAACAGGTAAGAGCACTGGAAACTAATTGTTATATTTAAAACATAAAGCCATAACTGCTTTTATTCATAAATAGCACGACCCCCTCCTGGTTGTGTTTTCCAGTAGTTTTCCTCTCCTATCAATATCATAATCTCTATCTTTGCCTCAGGTTCAGTGTGCAAATTGGTATGCATTGTAATCGCACAATACTCACTGTACAATTACCAGACAGGGAGATAGGCATCTGTTAATGTCTGCCTGAAAAGAACACTCCTAAAGTCTGTCACCTCTTGTTCACAAGCCTAAAGAACATAATTTTCATTATAGGCCTTCTTACTTATTATCCATCCATGCCTTGTGCAGTGATCATGATCTGTAGTGTGCTACCACCTCTTGCTATTCTTTAGTGAATTATTACACAAATTTCTGACCCAGGGGATACTTGTAAAACCCTGTGCCCTCTGCAAGTTGGCACTAAGAGGTTCATAGGACTCAGCTACCACAATGCAACAAGTAAACAAACAAATAATTCAATTGCATTAGGGAAAGGTTTGCCTCTAACTAGTTTATCTTACAGTCAGAATTATAATTTATGTGAAGTGTGGGGAAAGGTGAACCTTTTAGTTCTGTTCGCTATCCTGCTGTGGCAGAGGTAGATCCCAGCTTACTTATGACAAAATATGTACCCAGTTCTCAGATTTTTTTGGAAGAGGTTTGCCAGGAATAATATTCCAGATAAGCTACAGTTCTGGAGAATCCAAAACACTGAAGGGCTATGTGAAAGGATCATGTGTACAGGCAGTCCCCGGGTTACGTACTAGATAGGGACTATATGTTTGTTCTTAAGTTGAATTTGTATGTAAGTCGGAACTGGCTCCAGATTCAGCTTCTGCCACTGAAACTGACCAGGGGCTGACTACAGGAAGCTGGAGGCAGAGTTGCTCTGCCCCCAGCTTCCTGGAATCAGCCTGATCAGTTTCAACAGCTGCTGAATCTGGAGCCTGGGACAGAACAGCTGGGGCGCTGCCCGGTAG